CTGTAGCCCCAGCTATCCTGGAACTCACTATGTAGACCAGGCTGGCCTTGAACTCACAAAGATCTGCCTGCCTCTGCCTCCCAAGTGCAAAAGATGTGTGCCACCACACTCAGCCAAGACCTTTATTTATTATAATATTTATTTACTATCTTGTTTCAATTTTAAAGAGCATTACATAGTGCTATTTAACTTGTTAGTTACTGCATTAGTTTCTCTTCCTGACAAAAACCCAAAGGAAGGGTTTATTTTAGCTCACAGTTCCAGAGTACAGTCCATGATGGCACAGAGGTCAGGGCACCAGGATCTTGAAGCAGCTGCTCACATCACATGTACACTGCTTGAGAGCAGTGAATGTGGTTAACTAGCTTTCCCCTTTTTGTATAGACCAGGACCTAAGCCCAGAGAATGGTGCTACTACTGCCATCTCCATTAGCCTAATCAACATAATCCCTCACAGGAATGTCTGTAGGATAAATAATCCCTCACAAAAAGCCTGGAGGATTGCCTTCTAGATGATTCTAGATCCTATAAAATTCACAATTAACACTAACCATGGTAGTACTAGCCCAAAATCTATACCAATGATATAACCTTTGACTTATGACAGATAATCTTTAACAAGATATTAAAGATATTGAATACTTTTACATTCTGTATTTGATTTGGGCCAAAAGTTGGAACAAATCTGGGAAAATATAATAAATTCAATCTGAAATTATTTTTAGATTTTCTGTAATTTTTTCCCATTACTTTCAATATGCTAGGACATTGGTAGTAGGTACTGCCAGCAAATTAATAGTTAAACTAAGAAAAGTACACACAAGCAGGCAAACAATATTTTTAATGAATACCAGTTAAAGTATTCCTATTAACCAAGAATATTTGAAGTTATAATTACTGTCTTAAATATTTTTAAATTTCTAGATCATCCATTATCATGGTGTAGTGAAGTCCATGCTAGGTCTTGGTCAGCTTTCTACTGTAATTACTCAGGTGAATGGAGTGCATGCTAACAGGTAATTTATTAAAGAATAATTTTCTTTCATTACTGTAAGTAGGAGTGTTTTGATTTCTGAATATATTGGATTAATGTATACAAAAAAATGAAATGTTTTATATGTTTTGGAGATAAGCACCAAAATTTTTTCTCCTTTTTTTTTTTTTTTTTTTTTTTTTTTTTTTGAGAAATGGCCTAGTGGCAGACGCCTTTAATCCCAGCACTTGGGAGGGTGAGGCAGATGGATCTCTTTGAGTTCAAAGCCAGCCTAGTCTACATAGTGAGTTCCAGGGCAGCTGGAGCTATAGGAAGACCGTGTCTCAAAAAGACCAAAAAAAAAAGAAAGGTTTTTTGCCATTCATTCTTTTTTTTTTTTTTAAGAATTTTTTTTTATTCCAAAGAGAGGCAATTTTTAACACTTTTTTCCAGAAAAAAAAAGCAGGGTACATAAAATATTTATAAAATGAAGTTTAAGGGTGGAAAAGTAGGGATAAGAAATCACAGACTAAAGCCAGGCATAGTAACACACATCCTTGATCCCAGCACTTGAGAGGCAGAGCCCAGCAGATTTCTGTGAGCTCGAGGCCAGTCCAGTCCATCCACAAGCTCTAAGCCAGCTGGGGTCACAGGGAGGCCCTGTCCCAAAAGACCAAAAAAGAAAAAAAAAATCAAAGAACAAAGAATTTGCGAACACCTGGTCAACTTTGGTGGAATAATGAAGGTTTCCATTACCTCTGTTCTTTTCTTTCTTTTTTTTTTTTTAATCCTAACTAGTTTGTTGGGCTTGCTAACAGCATAGGGTCAGGGTTTATATACAGAAGAGTGTGTCCCCCATTTATGATTGCACTGGAAAGTCCATACTCAAATATAGATCCCGTGACTTCCCAATAGCCAGTCATCTGCATACCTGGTGCCTGCAGAGACCAAAAGAGGGTATTGGATCCCCTGGAACTGGAGTTAAGGACAGCTGTTAGCCACCATGTGGGTGCTGGGAACTGAACCTGGGTTCTGCAAGAGCAGCCAGTACGTTTAACTGCAGAGCCATCTCTCTACCACTAGTGTTTATTATTATTAGTGTAGGTGAAGTATGATGGGGGAGAGGGGTCATGCTGCATGTGTGGAAGACAGAGGACAGTTTTATGGAATCTGTTCTCTCCTACCTTTATGTTGGTTCCAGGGGTCAAACTTGGGCGCCAGACTTGCACAGCAAATGCCTTTACCCACTGAACCATCTTGCCAGCCCTTTTTCTAGTTTTTAATAAGTCTATCTACCACTTCATAGTTTATCTTTTACCCAAAGAGTCATTTTACCTGGAGTCATATGTAAATTAGATTTTTCTTTAAGGCAGGAACTTTTCAGAGCTCACCTGTTAAGGTATGATTGACTCATATGAATACTTTTTTAGACTTCATCAGAGCTCTGACTATAACATTAATACCAGTTGCTTTCTGTGCTGGAGGTGGAGGTACAGGACAGAACTTTGTGAGTGGTTTTTATCCTGAAATGTTGATATTTTGGCATCTGAAGCAAGTTTTTAAAGTTATTCAAAGTTAGACTTTTAAAATTTAAATGTTGGCTAGGTGTGGTAGCACATGCCTTTAATCTCAGCATTTAGGTGGCAGAGGTAGGCAGATCCCTGTGAGATTGAGACCAGCCTGGTCTACCTAGAGAGTTCCAGGCCAGCTAGAGCTACAGGGAGACCCTGCCTCCAAAAAACAAACAAAACAGTGAACTGTTATACTTCTTTAATCCTTATTCTAAACTGGTTTTGGTAGCATTAATGTTTAGTAATTGGCATAAACTTAATATATTGCTATTTTTAGATTGGGGGGAGGGGCTGTTTTGAGACATGATATCATTATAGCTCCAGCTGGCCTCAAAACTCACTATGTAGCCAAGGATGACCTTGAACTTCTGATTTTCTTGCTTTCACCTTTCAAGTGCTGGGATTATGGGTGTGGTGGGTGTGCACAATAATAACCAGGTTTATATGAACCCAGGGTCCTATGTATGCTAGGCTAGCACTCTGCCAACTAAGGTACCCTAGCCCTGGTTTTGGACCTTTAAAACTAAAAATTGATAGGTTATTTGTCAAATTTTCTTTGTATTTTTGCTGCAGGAAGATCAAGGTGGGCATTTAAGGATATTGTGCCCAGCCCAGCCCAAGTGTTATGTTGTTTTTTGGGTTTTATTTTAATTTATAATATAGGTATGTTTGTGTCTTTATGTGATGTCATTAGATAATTAAATCGAAAAAAAAGTTTTATAGTCTAGAACCTAACATATAGCTGATATTCAAATGTTAATAAAAGCATGAAAAAAATCTATGCAGTCATAACCCAAAATATCACTGTTCATCCTAGTGTCACCCAAGTAGAATCCATGGAAGAAAATAGCCTACTAATTGGGTATGGCTGACACATACCTGCATTACAGTTAATCAGGAGGCTGAGGGAAGAGGAAGGCTTAAGCCCAAGAGTTCAGGGCCAATATGGGTAACATATAATCTGATTCTTTTTAAAAATATGGGTTAATAGGGGCCAGAGAGATGGCTCAGCAGTTAAGAACACTGGTTGTTCTTACAGAAGACCGGGGTTCGAATCCCAGCACCCACATGGCAGCTAACAACTGTCCGTAACTCCAGTCCCAGGGGATCCCACAGCTTCTGACCTCCGCGGGCATTGTACGACACAGTGCACTTACCTACATGCAGGCAATACACGCATACAGATTAAATAAAATTTTTGAGTATCCTATGTAGCCCTCAACTGTCCATGACCTGCACCAAAAAGCCGAAGTTTTTTGAAGTGCTTTTCTCTGAATTCATCTGTTGAATTGGCTGTTTCTTCTATAATCTTTAAGTTAAACATACAGATAATTTTCTAAAAGGTTGTGTTATTATTTGGCAACTAACTCTCTTCTAGTATATGATATGATTTATTTTGTTAAGGAATATTATTTTTAAAGAGCTCTATCAGAAATAATTAGTAGAGGGGCCAGTGAGGTGGCTTAGTGGGTAAAGACATCTACTGCCAAGCCTGACAACATGGGTTTGATCTCTAGTACCCACAGGTAGAAGGACAGAACCAATTCCAGCAAATTGTGCTTTGACCTTCATATGTGCACTGTGAAACACACACATACTAAATTAATTAAACATAATTTTTTAAAAGTTAAAAAAAGAAGCTGGAGCCGGGTGTGGTGGTGCACGCCTGTAGTCCCAGCACTTGGGAGGCAGAGGCAGGAGGATCTCTGTGACTTCAAGGCCAGCCTGGTCTACATAGTGAGTTCCAGGACAGCTGGGGCTACAAGGAGGCCCTGCTTCAAAAAGACAAAAAATAAAAAAAGGTTAAAAAAAGAAGAGAAGAAAAAAGAACAAAACAAAACAAACAAGAGGAGCTGGAGAGATGGCTCAGCAGTTAAGAGCACTGGCTGCTTTTCCAGAGGACCCTGGTTCAATTCCCAGCACCCACATGGCAGCCAACAAACATCTTTAACTCCAGTTCCAGGGGATCTGATGCCCTCTTCTGGCCTCCCTGGGCTCTGCAAGACATGGGTGCACTTACATACAGGCAGACAAAACACTCATATACATAAAATAAAAATAAATCAATCAAAAATTTTTATCTTGAAGTTAAAAATAATTAGTGGAAAATACTCTTGGACAATGGAAAGATTACAGTTTTCTTGGTTGCTTTTGGATAATTATTTTATATCTAACTACAAAATACAATACAATATAGTGTAAATATAATAAATAAAATATTTAAACTTGAGATAAAATGTAAATGCTACTTTAAATTTAAATAAATTAAGATGTAGTTGATCTGTGTTTCTCTTACTAGGTCTGAATGGACAGACGAATTGAACACATACAGAGTAGAAGCAGCTTGGAAACTCTCACAGTGGGATTTGGTGGAAAACTATTTGGCAGCTGGTAAAATTACTTTTTAAAGTATAAGCAGCTTTAATTTGCTACAAGCATTTTCAATTTAAATAATTTAGCAACATTTATCTCATCTTTTTTATGATTACCTTTTTAGTTGTTTGAAGTAGAATGAAACTATCTGGTCAGTATTTCTGCTGACCATTTTACCAGCTACAATAAAGCTGGCTCTTAGACCCGTTTATCATAGCATTTCATGACCTGTTTTTCAGATGGGAAGTCTACAACCTGGAGTGTTAGACTGGGACAGCTACTATTATCAGCTAAAAAAAGAGATATCACAGCTTTCTATGACACATTGAAACTCGTGAGAACAGAACAGATTGTACCTCTTTCAGCTGCAAGCTTTGAAAGAGGCTCTTACCAACGAGGATATGAATTTATTGTGAGGTATTTTGGGGATACCATTTTATATTCCTGTTGCTGTTTATATAGCAAGAATATATGTTAACAGGAGGATCTATCATATTAGGTTTTTCATACCTGATCTAAAGTGTATACTCTATATATGAGATTAATAAGATTGAATATGATAATTTGACATGTTCTGTCTTCAGATTGCACATGTTGTGTGAGTTGGAACATAGCATCAAACCACTTTTTCACCAGTCTTCAGGTGACAATTGTAATGAAGACTCTCTGAACTGGGCAGCTCGACTGGAAATGACCCAGAATTCCTACAGAGCCAAGGAGCCCATCCTGGCCCTTCGGAGGGCTTTATTAAGCCTCAACAAAAGGTTTTTCATACTCTTATTTTTTTGAAATGTCAGTTGTTTTAAACTTAGTATTATGTTTATACTCTTTTGGGGAGTATTTTTTCTTTTTTAGTTTTCCATCTTTCATCTACATTTCCTGTTTTCAGTTCTCAGGAATTCACTAGATTGTAAGAATCAGTTTTACAGCTGAAAATGGTGTTTCATACCTGTGATCCCAGCATTTTGGTGGCTTAGACAGAAGGATCATCGTAGATTTCAGGCCAGCCTGGACTTTATACCAGGACCCTGTTTCCAAAAAAAGAAAAAACAAAACAATTTTATATGCCTTTTTCCTTTCTATTTTTCTAAATTTATTTATTTTTATTTTATCTATAAGTGTTATGCCTACATGTATATAAGTGCACCCATGTCATGCAGTGCCTATGGAGGACAGAGGGTATTGGAGTTACAGACAGTTGTTAGCCATCATGTGGGTGCTAGGATTCAAACCCCAGTCTCTGCAAGAACAGCCAGTGCTCTTAACCCACTAAGCCATCTCTCCAGCCCCTCCTTCTATTTTTTAATGTACCAAACATATCTTGGAGGGGGGCGGGAGTATACCAGTATAAGTCAATAATAAAGCCTTAAGTTGGGAATATTACTCAGTAGTAGAGTTCCTGCTTATCAAATGTTAGACCGTGGATTTGATCTCCAGCATCTCAAAAACAAAAAGCAACAATAAATCACATAGATTTATGAGATGCGAATGGAACACAATAAAAAATTCAGACCCAGTGGTATTATTTAACCATACCATACCATACCAAATTAGCCATCCATCACTTTGAATTAGTACATTGAGAAGGTTCTGTGTTGGGAAGAGATATTTTAGTTCAGTTATTGAATATATTTACAAACGTTCTTTTTCTTTCATGTTTTATTACATTTCTTTAGACCAGATTACAACGAAATGCTTGGAGAATGCTGGCTACAGAGTGCCAGAGTAGCCAGGAAGGCTGGGCACCACCAGACAGCCTACAATGCGCTCCTTAATGCAGGAGAATCACGGCTCGCCGAACTCTATGTGGAAAGGGCAAAGTGGCTCTGGTCCAAGGTAGTGGCCAAGGGAATGTCATCAGAAAATATTCTCTTGGCAGTTATGTGCTTCTTGCCAAGGTCCAATTGAGAAAACCTTAGTCCAGATTCAGAACTTTTTTTTTTAATCCTTGTCAATTTTCTTCATAATATTCCGTAGTCTAGGAGACTATTCCTTCTATACAACAGTCTTCAAATATCTTTCTATTTAAGTCTGAAAGTATAGTTTTTTTTTTTAAGTTTTCATCTGTCCTACATATTTCTTGAGGAAAATGACCAATTCTTACTTTATTTTTATCTTCTGTGGGTATAGAGGTTGTGCATAGTAGATCCTCAATATTTATTTCATAAGTGATCATAACACTTTTATTTAAATCTTTGGGAAACAAATAGTTCTGTGTGGTCTTGCCAGTATTACTGGCAAGGTACACTATGTCATCACATGTCAGGAAGGGTGTAGCTTCAGAACAGAGGTTCCCATCAGTTCCCAGATTAAAGCAATAGAAACAGGAATTTTTCAGAGTCTGAATTACACAGAAATTTTACTTCCCATATTTAAATGGCTGTTACATATTTCTTCATGTTCATCGATAGATTAGAATTAATAGTAGGCATAGCATGTTCTGAAAATGATATTTGGCAGCTATAGTTGATGCCATATGTGATTGTAAAAACCTGTGGTGACTAAGAGAAGAAGATAGGGGAGATGTTTCCTGGACCAATGGGGAAAGCGATAATTGAGCCTATGTTAGTTGATACCTGGTCATTTTATGAGCTATTGCTAGTCTTTGTATTGCTTAACTTCAATATGCTCAAAATGCAGTTTGTTATCTAATAATACGTGTTTCTCTTCTCATGTTGCCTATTTTTCTGAACAAGCCTTACCTTTATCTGCTCATCTAAAACAAGTCTGGGCTTTATCTTAAATTCTCTCCTCACTTGCTTTTCACATCCAATTGAAGGCTAAATCTTTGCTCTTTAACCTTAGAAATGTTTCCTTTTTTAAAAGTTTTTTAAGTTTTTGCTGGGCATGGTGCCATGTGTCTTTAATTCCTAGCCCTCAGGAGGAATAGGCAGGTGGATTTCTGAAAGGTCAAGGCTATCCTGGTTCACATCGTGACTTACAGGTGGGCTATGACTAGGGAGACCCTGTCAAAAAAACAATAAACAGGAGATAGGAGATAGGGTCTCCTAGCCCCAGCTGACCTGGAACTCCTTGTGTAGACCAAGCTGACCTCAATCTCGTAAGAGATTCACCTGCCTCTGTCTCCCTAGTACTGGGATTAAAGGTGTGCACCACCATGCCCAGCTTTAATATTTTATGTATATGAGTGCTTTGCCTGCATTACATATGTGTACCACATGTGTGCCTGGTGCCCACAGAGACCAGAAGAGGGTGTTGGATCCACTGAAGTTAAAGGTAATTGTTAGCTGCCGTGTGAATGATAAGAAACCAAACCCAGAACCTCTGTAAGAGCAGCAAGTGCTCTTAAATTGCTGATCATCTCTCCAGACCCTAGAAATGTTTCTTAAATCATCTGTCTTATTTTTCCTGTTTTAACTCATGCCAGTATTTATAGCCTCTATCAATATTCACAACTTTTTTAAGGATCTCACAATTTCTATGTATATTTCTGTAGTCTGTGACCTTTCCAAAATGCACAGTGAAACATAATACGTCTTCAAAATAGTCTCTATACCTTTAAATTAAGTGTGAACTCTAGAAAACACACTCCACCCTTTCTAGTTGAGGGCTGTCCTATCTCTTTGGCTTCATTTGTCCATGTCTCACAAATGTTTTAGACTTCATCTAAAACAAGGTTACTGCTGCTTCTTAACTTATGATGGAGTTACATCCCAACAAATTCATCATAACTTGAAAATATCTTAAGTCAGAAGTACATTTATACACCTAACCTACCAAACATCATAGCTAAGCAACACAATATTAAACTAAAGTAGCCCTTCCCTCTTATCTTCAATTTTTCTTTCCCTGCTTTCAGATACCTGAGGTCAACCTATTATCTGTAAACATTAGATGGAAAATCCCGTAAATAATTGATTCATAAATCTTAAATAACTTTTATTACAGTATATGGTTCTAATTGTTTTATTACTAGCTATTAATCTCTTATTTTGCCTTATTTATAAATTAAACTTTACCATGGGCATGTATGCATGAGAAAAGCCTGTATATATAGGACTTTTTTTTTTTTTTTTTTGGTTTTTTGAGACAGGGTCTCCCTGTAGCCCCAGCCGACCTGGAACTCACTATGTAGACCAGGCTGGCCTTGAACGCACACAGCTTATATAGGACTTTAAATAATTTTTTATTTATAAGCCGGGAGTGGTAGCACATGCCTGTAGTCCCAGCACTTGGGAGGCAGAGGCAGGCTATCTTTCAAATCTGGATTTCTTTCTCAAGTTACAGTTGAGCAGCAATTAAACTGGGTACAAGTACCTATATGTTTTCTTGAAAAAGACCAAAAAAAATTTTTTTTTAATTTATTTTTTGTCTTTTTGAAACAGGGCTAGAGCTCACTGTGTAGACCAGGCTGGCCTCAATCTCACAGAGTCTGCCTGCCTCTACCTCCCAGGTGCTGGGATTAAAGGCATGTGCCGCCATGCCTGTATATAAGATTTTTTACTCTTCAGTTTGAGGCATCCTTTGGAGATCTTGGAATATACCCCTTGCAGATGAGGAGGACTGTGTACACTCTTGAGTATCAATTGTTTCCTTTCACAATCCCAGGTAGACTTGGAATCGTGGCTTCCTACCACTGCCTAGCATTTCAAGTAAATAGCACATTGCCTACTTGGTAAAAGATCAGAATTTAAAGTATAGTTTCTGCCTGGTATGGTGGCACAGGACTGCAATTATTGTACTCAGGAGGCAGAGACAGGAAGATCACCACAAATTCCAGGCCAGCCTGGTCTAGTTAAGGAGTTCCAGACCAGCCAGAGTTATATTCTAAGACCCCTTCTCAAACCTTACCCTCCAAAATATTAGAAGTTATTATTTCTGGGACCAAAGAGATGACTTAACAGTTAAAAGCACTTGCTGCCCTTGCAGAGGACCTAGGTTTTTTTTTTCCCAACACTCACATCAGGTGGCTAACAACCATCTGTAACTCTAGTCCCAGGGAATCCAATGCCCTCTTCTAACCTTCATAGGCACCTGCACTCATGTGGTGCACATACATACACTCAAGCCCACATGTACATAAAATGAAATTTTAAAATTATGGTTTTTAATGAATCTGCTGGGCTTTGCATGAAAAATTGTAAGTGAAAAACACCATATGTCAAAAACTATCTGTACTTTGTTTTCACCTAAATAAGAGAAATTTTTCTCTTATCTAAAATGTCCTTCACTAACTCATGTGCCAGAAAATTTTTTACTCATTATTTAAGATCCAATTCAGATTTTCCCCCACCTTTCTTGGTGTTCTCTTTCACTTTCCTGTATCTTCAGGTAGATTTGGGGAAGGGGGAAAACTCTTTCCTCTATCTTTTAAAATACCCATCTGTATTTCTGCATTATAGCACTTAAACATGTTGGTGTTTTACATAGTTTAGTTAGTTTCTTGTCTTCATTGAGAACTTCTTTTGTTTTATTATTTCTTTTTGTTTGTTCACTTATTTGTTGAGATAAGGTTTTACTATGTAGCCAAATCTGACCTTGAAGTTGTGGTTCCTACTATCTCCCTAGTGCTAGGAATTATCGTATACAAAAACCACCACATCCAGCTAACGGTGAACTTTTTAAGCCAGAGACTTTAATTTATTTATGATTGTTTTTTCTAAATCATCTACATATGTCTTCAGTTCCCTGAATTTAATAATAAAATTAATGAGTAAAATGAATGATTATAAGAGTTCTACGTGAAATGAATCAATGCTTCCTTCTTAGAACTTTCCTGTAATAAGAAAGAATGAGAGATAAACATGAAATTATAAACAAATTTGTACCTAAGCATGTTTAATGCAAATAATTTTGTTTTTCACAAAACAGGAATATATTCTTAAGTTAAAAGGCCACTTAATTTCCTTTTTCCTTATAGGGTGATGTTCATCAGGCACTTATTGTTCTTCAAAAAGGTGTTGAATTATGTTTTCCTGAAAATAAATCCCCAACTGAGAGTAAGCACATGTTAATCCATGGTCGAGCTACACTTCTAGTTGGCCGATTTATGGAAGAAACAGCTAACTTTGAAAGCAATGCAATTATGAAAAAATATAAGGTACGTATATGTACAATGCAATTTCCTTTAGAAGCATAATGAATACCTTTTTTTTCTGAACTGGATAAAATTATTTTTAAAGTCTATGTAGAGGAGGATTTGTATAATAGTACTCAGGAAAACTGACTTTTTTATGAATATAGATCATAAGTATATGAAACTGTCACAATAAATACAATCATGAAACCACCACCCAGGTTAAAAATTGCTGCCACACAAATAAATTCATAAAACCAGCCACCAGGTCATGAAATACTATGATTAGCACTCTACAGCTCTCCTCGTCACAATAATATTCTCACCTTCCTATCCAAAGTTAACTATATCTGAGTCTGTTTATTTGTTTTTGGTTTCAAGACAGGAGCTCATGGCCTGTAACTTGCTGTGTATTCAAGGATGACCTTGAAATTCTAATTTCTACCTTCCTCTGCCAAGTAGTGGGATTAGAGGTGTGCACCACCACCCAGTTTTATGCACTACTGAGGACAGAACTGAGCCATGTGCAGGCTAAGCAAGTAATCTACCAACTAACTGAGCAGCATCCCCAATTCCTGAAAATTTTTTTATAAAAACTATATAGCTGCAGTCAGGGCGTGGTGGTGCACGCCTTTAATCCCAGCACTCGGGAGGCAGAGGCAGGCAGATCTCTGTGAGTTCAAGGCCAGCCTGGTCTACATAGTGAGTTCCAGGACAGCTGGGGCTACAAGGAGACCCTGTCTCAAAAAAACCAAAACTATATAGCTTCCTTACCAGGAATTAAAGCTTACAAGATGATACTATAAGAGATAAACCTCCCAGTCATATGAAAATACTTAAAATAAGAATTTAAAAATACCTAGAACTTTTATTATAAAATTCATAAAAGTTGATAAAGTAGATGAATGGTTGTCAGCAACAAGGAGTTGGGGTAGGAAATAATAACCAATTGGTAAAGGGTTTTGTGGATGTTGTAATTTATGTTTTGTTTAAAGTGGTGATTACAATGTTCTAAGATATTTGGCACTGATGGTTTTTCAAATCTGAATATAATTCAAAAAAAAATAAGGGGCTGAAGAAATGGCTCAGCAGTTAAGAACACTGGCTGTTCTTGCAGAAGACCCAGGTTTGAATCCCAGCACCCACATGGCAGCTAACAACTGTCTGTAACTCCAGGTCCAGGGGATTTGATAGCCTCTTCTGTCCTCTGTGGGCATTGCACAACACGGGTGCACTTACCTACGTGCAGACAGTACACACATACACATAAAAATTTAAAATATGGCTGGGCATGGTGGTGCCAGCCTTTAATCCCAGCACTTGGGAGGCAGAGGCAGGCAGATCTCTGTGAGTTCAAGGCCAGCCTGGTCTACATAGTGAGTTCCAAGACAGCTGGGGCTACAGGGAGACCCTGTCTCAAAAAGACCAAAAAAATATATATTTTTTAAAAAATACTTTAAAAAGTGAATTTGGGGTTGGAGAGAGAACTCAGCAGTTAAAAGTACTTGCTGCTCTTCCCAGGACCTGAGTGAGTTCAGGTCCCAGCACCCACATGAGGTGGCTCACAACCACCTATAACCTCTACTCCAGGAGAATCCAAAACCCTCATCTGGCCTCTATGCATACCCATGCACATGTGGCCTACACACACACACACAAACTTTTTTTTTTAATTTTTTTTTTTTTATAAAAGTGTGAGTCTGGGGCCAGGAACATGATTCAGATAGCAAGGGAGTTGTTATGCAAGCATAAGTAGGGATCTGAGTTGGATCCCCAGTACCCATGTAAAAAATCCAAGTATTGATATTTGGCCTAGCATGAAAGAGGTCTTGAGTTAAATCTTAAGCACCATGTGTTACGTAAACTGGGGTGGTGACAAACAGACCTGTAATCCTGGCATTCCATAGGTGAAAGTGTAGGATCAAGAATTGAAGGTCATCCTCTGCCTTTGCCACTTCTTTCACCAACCTGGACTATATGAGACCTGTCTCAAAAAGCTGAACTCATCCCAGCACTAGGAAGGCAGAGGCAGGTGAATCTCTGTGAGATTGAGGCCAGAATGCTCAATATAGCGTGTTCTAAGCCAGCAGGGGCTATGGGAACACCCTGTCTCAAAAATCCAAAAATTTAAATAAAAAAAAGCTGGACTTGCCAGCCAGCGTCTATAATCTCAGAGCTGGATCCCCAGGCGGATCCCTGGAACTTGACCTGCCAATCTAGCCTAATCAGCTTCAGAGAGAGACTGTCTCAAAAAATTAAGTTGAGAACAATTGAGGAGATTGCCCAACATCAACCTCTAGCTTTCACATGCACATGTATATACATTAACACGTTTATGTATACACACCCAAAATAGTGAACTTAACTGCTTATGTATTATATCTCAATTCTATTTTTTAAATTACTCAAATATATGCTGTGTGTGGTGGTTCATGCCTTTAATCCCAGCACTTGAGAGGCAAAGGCAGGTAGATCTCTGAGAATTCAAGGCCAGCCTGGTCTACGTAGTGAGTTCCAGGTCAGCTGGGGCTGCAGGGTGACCCTGTCTCAAAAAAGGAAAAAAAAAAAAAAGAAAGAAAAAAAAACCCAAATGTAATTAAAAAAAATTTAATTGCCTTTATTTATTCAATTTGTGTGTGTGTGTGTGCGTGCGCGCGCATATGTGTGTGCAAGAGGTCAAGGGACTACTTGCAAGAGTCAGTTCTCAAGATCCTTCCACCATATGGGTCCTAGGAATCGAGCTCAGGTTGTTGGGTACCAATATGGCAGTTCACAACAGCACGCGATTCAAGTTCCATAGACTCTGATGCCTTTTCCCAGCCTCCAAGGGCACTTGGAGTCACATGTGCACATACCCATCCAGAGACACACACAATACATGATTAAAAATAAAATAACTTTTTTTTTTTTAAGCTTTACAATTTTATTAGAATTTTAAAGAAAATGAAATCGTCAGGGCAGGCGAGCTGGTAATCTTGAGGAGGTGAATAGTAGGAAGAAAGAAAGAAAAGCCATAGAGCCTGCCTCGCTTGGAGAAATAAGCTTTAGAGAAATAGTAAAGAAATGCAAGATGCTAGGGGCAGCCCAAAGCCTTTAAAGAAAGTATGTTTAGTAAGAAAGGCATGAAGAAGAAAAAGGGAAATTACACTTCCCTAACCAAATGGCTGTAGCTAGGAAGTCCTGCACCAGTAAACAGGATCCCAGGCAGAAAATCTCACTATCTCTTTAACACAGTAGGTATTCTACCCATCTATTTAGCATGACCCACCTTCCTAGAGGTAGTCCTCTGACCGATGATCGACTAGTTAAACTTACACAAAATAGAGGCACTCAGGGTATTACATTCCCCACTGGCTCTGGGACATAAGTCAAATATTTGACTTGTTTTGATTTTGAGCCTCATACTGGGTCTTCAGAACTGTAATTCTGATGGCATTTGGATGCCTCTTGAGCTATCTGGTTAGACATTTTAGGAGGCATTGGCCCACTGTAAAGGCTAAGAGAAATATTACCAGAGGCCCAGTAAAACTCAATTACACCTGAATTATTGATGTAGAAACAGCAAACCTCCCCTAAGGTCATCTGTGAGCCATCTTTCTTTAGGAACAGTAGTAGGTCTATCCCCCTTCTGTTCTATAGCACTATTTTAGTTAAGGACTTAACCTGTCTCTCCAACTGATCAATGGCCATCTATCTGAGAGCTTAGAAGCCTAAAGTTGTTTTAAATATTTTTTAAAATTTTTTAGAAGAAGCATTTCATTACAGCTTTAACATACTCAATAACAATTTCCAGAGCAAAGATACATCTCTTTCAAAAGTGGCTATAAAATTTTTAGGTTCACAGTTGAATTAATACAGGTATACAATATTGAGCTCAGTACCCTGTAAGACATAAAATTGAATTAGTTTTTAACCTTTAAAAAGATTTCCATTTCATTTTAAAATATATTGTTTCTTACAGAAAGACTCATTGTTTTTGCTAATAACACTTAGTTTTATTTTATATGTGTGTGTGTATTGGCTGCATGTAGGTAAGTGCACCCATATCCTGCAATGCCCACAGAGAACAGAAGAGGCTGTCGGATCCCCTAGAACTGGAGGTGCAGACAGTTGTTAGCTGTCATGTGGGTACTGGGATTCAAACCCAGGTCTTCTGCAAGAACAGTCAGTGCTCTTAACCCCTGAGCCATCTCTCCAGCCCCAGAAGCCTAAATTTTTTATTACCCATGGCTAGGGTGGTGGCATTCAAGGCAGCAGAGCCTATAATGTCTGTTTCTACAAGGATGGCAGCATGATTTCTCTTGGCCCTTGAGAGACCTGGGTTAAGATGAAATGTTTCTGCCCTTTCCCTCTGCTATAGAGATAAACCTGGGGCAGAACATGGACTAGTGTGCACATGTCTCCATGGTGAGAGTCCCATTCTAGCTGTTCTGTAGTCATGTACTTAGTAAGACTGAAGGTGCATGCCCATCAGGTGGATTCAGGGGCTTGAAAGAGTAAACCCAGGTTTCATGAGAACTTATGGGGCTATATGTTGCTCTAATATTTACCCCCTCTTAAGAGGTAACCTTTAAAATTTAGGGATTAGATAAGAGCTCTTAAATACTTTTGACATTTCTGGACTTTGATACAGACCAGTCTTCTAAGAGGCCCAAGGACAAAAAATAAACTAACTTTTTGAAAATTCTTATTTCTTTTATTTTTATTTTATATGCATGAGTGTTTTACCTGCATTTATATGTGTACCATATGTGTGCAATGCCCCAGGGGGCCAGAAGAGGACACTGGATCCCCTGGAACTAGAGTTATGGATGGCTCTTAGCTACCATGTGGGTGCTGGGAACCAAACCCTGGTCCTCTGCAATAGCAGCCAGTGCTCTGAACCACTGAGCCATCTCTCTAGCACCTAAAATAACTATTTAAATGAAAAATAAAAAATTTAAAAACATGGGGCTGGAGAGATGGCTCAGCAGTTAAGAACACTGGCTGTTCTTGTAGAAGACCCATGTTTGAATCCCAGCACCCACATGGCAACTGTCTGCAATTCCAATCCCAGGGAATCTGACAGCCTTTTCTGTCCTCCGTGGGCATTGCACGACACGGGTGCACTTACCTACATGCAGGCAATACATGCATACACATAAAATAAATATTAAAAAAATTAAAAACATACTTGGCCTACATGTATCATTCCACTCCTTTTTTTTTTTTTTTTAATTATAGAGGTTTTACTCTATAGCTAGAGTATCTTTGAACTCATTATGTAGCCTATGCTTGTCTCAAACTTACCATATCCTTCTGCCTCGGCTTCTTGTGTGCTGACTTACAGGTGAAATCTGCCATACCTGGCAGCAATGTTTATTACATCATTATATCTAGATTTCATATTGGAAGTGACTCAAATGTTAATCACAAGCAGAAAGGATACATTTGAGAATATTGTTCTCATGCAATCCTATGTAGCAAACTATTGTATGCTGCATGCTTTTGAGTTTTAATCACCTAGTAGTACTTTTCTTTCTAGTGTAATAAGAGATTTGCTTAGGTGAGTGTCCTATGACTCTTTCATAGGATGTGACTTTGTTCCTGCCAGAGTGGGAAGATGGGCATTTCTACCTTGCCAAGTACTATGACAAACTGATGCCCATGGTAACAGACAACAAAATGGAAAAGCAAGGTGATCTCATCCGGTATATAGTCCTTCATTTTGGAAAGTAAGTATAATAACTGCATGTTTAGAAAAAAAACTGGATGAATGTTGCCATATATTTTAGCATATTCAGGGTGTTCACTGTTTTACCATGCATGGATTTATTCTACTGACTTAATTGACCTTTAGTGGAAAAAGTGTATATGTATACATTCTTTAAAAATCAGTAGTACTGGACTTCAGATGGTAGAACACTTGTCTAGCATGTTCAAAGTTTTTTGTTTTTAATTCATTATTTGCTGGACATAGTGCCTGACACCTATAATACAAGCATCAAGAGTCTGAGACAGTGGAACCAGTGGCTCAGAACCTCATCCCTCAAGTCCGTATCTATTAAATTTCAGGAGACCCTAAACACAATATAATATATAATGGTTAAATTTAGTGGTAATTGAATATTTCTCCTAGTCAAATCCTATAAGAAGTAGCATATAGGAAAATGATTTTGAAGTTAGACTAAAGAAAGAGCTTATTTGTTCATTTCCATTTTGAGATAGTCTCATTCTGTAGCTCAGAATTGTCTTGAACCCATAATCCTCTGCCTCAGCCTCCTGAGTGCTGGGATTCAGGCATACACCACCATACCTGGCAGAAGTTTATTCTTAAACAAGGCATCAGGCGAAATGCAACTTTTTGTTTTGTTTTTTGAGATGGGGTATTATGTAGCCCAGGCTTGCCTCAAATTCACTATGTAGCTAAGGGTGAACTTGAAATCCTAATCCTTATCCTGTGGTGGGATTACAGGTTGAAATATAACTTTTCATATTCTGGTATATGTATTATACTAAAATAGCATACTGTGTCATGTATAATTATGTTTCATAAATTACTAATTTATAAGAAGTAATCATGACATTTTATAGTTTTCCTTATTATATTCATGTATTATTGCTTTCTACTGAACTGTATCTTGCTTAACAGCAATTCTATTAAAATTCTCAATTTTCAGGTATTATTACTTATTAGTTATGTATTTTAAAAAATTGAGACAATATTTATCTATCCCATAGCAGTATTAGGGTAGGATTTAGCCAAATTTTATTTTCCTATTTTATTTTCAAATTTTGTAAGCTCTAGACCCAATTTTATTAGTTTCCTTATTAATAATTATAACTTGTATTAGTTTACATATATTTTTTGAGACAGAGTCTCATTATGTTCAAGATTGGCCTTGAACTCACAACAATCTTCTTGCCTCTGCCTCCTGAATGCTGGGATTCAAGGCATACACCATTATTCCCAGTAATATCAGTATTCTTTTGTTTGTATTCTTTTTATTTTTGAGACAGGGTCTTCCTGTACCCCAACTGGCCTGGAATTCACTATATAGACCAGGCTTATCTCGATCTCTCAGAAATCTGCCTGCCTTTGCCCCGTGAGTGCTGGGATTAAAGGAATGCACCATCATGCCCGGTCCAGTTATTGGTATTCTTCTTGGCTTATAATTAAGGGAGAATTCCTGACTTGTTGGCACTTTGAAATGAAATCAGAAAACAGGATAATTTTAAATGAATTTTCTTTTCTAAACTGAATGATGAATGATACCTTTAAAAAATATAATCACTTATACATTAAGTACCTTAGAATATAGAATGTACTTAATTATTATTTCTTAACTTCAAGGGAAGGAAGGCTACTTTAGAGCCCATTTCTGTCTTTTGGTTGTTACTGTTTTGTTATTGATGATTTTGTTTGTTTCTTTGTGATGAGATCTTACCTACATAGCCCAAGCTGGCAACTCAGTCTGCCTACTCTAGCCTCCTAAATGCTGGGATTATCAGATGTGTAGCACTACTCTAAGCTTCCACAGCTAATTTCTATCTGAACTACTAAAGTACAAACTAGCTATTGAGATGTATTCATTTGAATAATTGAATTTACCCTGAATAACTATGTTAATCCTGATTAAGTATCAATGTTTGTTCTCAAGGAGCTATAGTTTAATTAGGGAATAAAATCTTAAGTATAGAAAACATTTAGGTAACTGTGGTCTCCGGCTGTGCCTGCTCTCCTCCAGCTGTGGCTGCTCTTCTGCTCTCTTAGTTCCTCTGATCAGTCGTCTGGTCCGGACCCCAGGGCTGGTAAGGAGTCAGCACCAGCTTCACCGCATTCAGAATCAGGAGACCAGGTTCAGTGACACAGATCTGCTTTATTGCAGGAAGGCACAAGCTTATATAGGGATAGTGGTCCAATCACAGCACAGCAAGTAGGATACCTTATTAGCATAAGAGGTTTAGCATCCTATCACAGTACAGCAAGTAGGATACCTTGATTCCAAGGGTGGTGATTAGGGAGTAGTGAGCTCTAGGCATCAGTCTCATGATCTGCCAATGGGAGCAAAATGTCACAAGGCGTTGCCTCAGGCCTGCTGTATGGCTGTCAATAAGACTTTCAACCTAGGCCAAGCCTGTCTCCGACAGGCACTTGCACTTAATAGAATGTATGAGCAGATATCAAAAGGAATGATACAAATATTTTTTAAAAATACCTAGCAAAGGAGATACCAATATCATGAAGTTAGTTTTCCTAGGGTGAGACTCTTCTATTACACCCTAGATGTGCTAAACTCTGTGATTTCTCCAATTGCATGAAATTTGTGGTGGTTGTTAGGGTTCCAAACAGCAGCAGCTTCCCCCCTCCCCAACAGGGACCTACAGACTTTGGAGCCCGAAAAAGGGAACTGAGCTGACAAGCACCTTGACCTTTGAAGTCAAGGGAAACAAACTCTGCTGAGAAGCAGCCTGCTTTTCCTCTGATCTCCAAAGATAAGATAAGCAGATTCTACCTGTTAACCAGAGATTTTAGAAGTTGTTTATCACAACAGCTTTTCTCTTAAGAGGGAAAAAGTAAACACTTCCAGACCCTAATCCTACCTGCTTTTCCTGCTTCCCCCTCCCTGATTTCTCCCCCAAACATTCCCCCCCTTCTACACCCTAAAGCTTACCCCATGTATAAAGTCCCAGGTCACAGTCCATGGGCTGACATCTTTCCCTCCCCTGCCCTTCCCTGACATTTTTCCCTTCCCTGAGGGAAACGTGTCCTGTGCGAAATAAAGCTGTATCCTGCTGAGAATTCCATCTGTGCCTCGGTGCCTCATCCTCCATCCGTGCTCGCGCTCTCTCACCAACATTTTTACCTATCAGTGGTCAGGGGACTATGTTTGCTCTTCCCCTGGGGGGAATAGAAATAAAACCTTTCTGATACTTGCAAGATATCAGAAGTGAAGTAGATCCATCTAAAAGTCATATACTTCATGTAATTCTGTAGTAAAACCTCAGTCTATTGGCTTCATGGTTTTAAAAGTATTTGTGTATCAGCTATAAAGAAAAAAAAATGGGGGGGGAGGCTAAAGAGATGGCTCAGTGGTTAAGAACATCGGTTGCTTTTGCAGGAGACCCAGGTTCAAATCCCAGCACCCGCATGGTGATTAGCAACCATTTATAACTCCAATTCCAAGAGATTCAATGCCCTCTTCTGTCTTCTAAAGGCACTGCAGGACACAAGTGCACCTACACACGTGTGGGCATAACACTGATACACATAAAATTAAAAAAAAAAATCAAGGGGTTGGGGATTTAGCTCGATGGTAGAGCACTTGCCTAACAAGCATAAGGCCCTGAGTTTGGTCCTCAGCTTCAGAAAAGAAAAAAAAAAAATCAAGACAGCTGGGTGTGGTGGTACATCCCTTTAATCCCAGTACTTGGGAGGCAGAGGCAGGGGTTATCTCTGAGTTCGAGACCAGCCTGGTCTACATAGCAAGTTCTAGGCCAGCTGGGACTACAGGGAGACCCTGTCTCAAAAAGACCAAAAAAATTTTTTTTTAATTAAAAAAAAATTAAATCAAGAAAAAAAGTGTATTTCTTTGTGTTGCACTGCACATACAGAACTCTGGTATGTCTCATGAAGGTATACTAGTGAACAGAATTCAGTAAAACATTAAAAGAGTCACAGTCACCATGACAAATAGAATTTACCCCAAGGATGAAGCATGTGCTCAACATAGTCAAGACCATATAAAATAGACTCAAAGGTAACTTCATACTGAATGGTCAAAAGTTCAAAGCCTTTCCTCTAATTTCAGGTACAAGATAAAGACATACACACACACATTACTCATGAAATGAATTTTTAAAAATATTTGAAAAGTGAGGGGTGTAAGGATTGGATTGGGGATGCAATTCACTGGTAGACTACCTGCCTAACATGTGCAAAGCTATAGGTTTGATTCTAAGTATCACAAAAATAGAACCTCTCATGTTATCTCACATTGTGATTGAGAGTGCAAACTGAGATAACTTTTGTGCCTATAAAATGGCTCAGGCTGGACAAGCTCATGTCTCCAAGCCTGACAGCCCATGTCCCACATGTAAAAGGAGAAATGACTCCCACAACTTGTCTTTAGACCTCCACACATGCCTGACCCCCTCCCACATACACTCACAATAGCAATTGAATTTCTTTTTTTTTAATAGTAAGGATAGAGGCCTCATATGTAGCTCAGTGGCAGAGCACTTGCCTAGCATGTGTAAGGCCCTGGATTTGATTCCTTAGCATTTCAAAGGAAAATAGTGATGAGGATAGTAAACTTTATTATATCTATTTAAAAATATTTTCTTTATAGCTATTTAAAAATATTTTCTTGCCAGGTGTGGTTGCTCACACCTTTAATCCCAGCACCCAGAAGGCAGAGACAGGTAGATCCTTGTGAGTTCAAGGTCAGCCTGGTCAATATGGTTCCATGCCACCTGGGGCTACAGGGAGACCCTGTCTTAAAAAGACAAAAAATATTTTTAAATTAAAATATTTTCTCATTTTTATTTTTTGTGCGGAGTGTATTGCTTGCATGTGTGTCAGTGCATCTGTGTTGTGCAATTCCCTGAGAAAGTCAGAAGAGGGTGTCAGAGCCCCTGGAACTGGAGTTACAGATGGTTGTTAGCCACCATGTGGGTGCTGGGATTTTAACCCAGGTTTTCTGCAAGAGCAAACCAGTGCTCTTAACCATTGAGCCATCTCTCCAGCCCGTTATGTCTCTTTACCACATTGAAGAAAATACTTTGAATGAAATAAACTGATATCCTGGCCTCAAATTGGTTTCCATTAAGGAGAATGTTAAAAACTTTTCACACACTTGAAACAATAGGGTGTGTGGTTTGATTAGGAAGTTAAGCTGGGTTCACTAATGCCTGTAGTCCTAGCACCTGAGAGGTGGAAGCATCACTGTGGGTTTGAGGACAGCCCAGATATGGAATGAGATCATGTCTCAAATACCAAAACCCAAAATGAATAACAAGAAAAGAATGGTAAGGAAATTGGACATGATGAAGGTTCTGTAGTGAGTGAGAGACTAAAATGGGAAAATTGCAGAGTTACAAGGTTGTGGATATTTGAATTTTGCAGTCATTCATATAGCCTTAATTTATAGGTTGCTGATTTGTACTTTGAGCAAAGGGGGGGAGGTATGATATAACTAGAATTCCAAGAATGTTAGTCCAGAGTTTGTTGAAGGAAATAAGTATAGAATTGTAATTTCCTAGAAATGGAACAGTTGGACCTGACCAAAGCTTATGGCCAAGGGACTGCAAAAGAAGGTACAGATTGTAAGAACTGTTTTGACAGAACTATTGGCAAGACTGTGACCAACTCAGAACATGTATAATTTTTTGGTATAGGCTAACTGAGGTCTTTAGTAGGAAAATATGAAAAGAGTCAAAAGTAACCTGTACTAGGAAGATGCGTCAATACCATACATAGTATTAATGGCTAGGGACATTACCCAGTTGGTAGAATGTGTGCCTAGAATGCATAAAGCCCTGAATTTGACCCACAGTACCAAATAAACTGTGCAATGTGGCCAGCATCCTGTTATCCCAGCACTCAGGAAGTAGAAGCAGGAGGATCATTTTACGATCGTCCTCAGCCACATAATGAATTTAAGGACAGATAGACACAGGTAGATGATACCATAGTTTTTGTCAGAAGGCTATACCTAACTGAAGTAGTAGTCTAAGTCTGTAAATTATTGTTCCTATAACATAAAAAAGAGCTCTGTGCTAATAGTCATTTTTGTTTATATAATTTCAGATCTCTACAGTATGGAAATCAGTTCATATACCAGTCAATGCCACGAATGTTATCACTATGGCTTGATTTTGGTGCTAAGGCATACGAATGGGAAAAAGGTATAACTCTTTGGGTAAACACATTAAGGCACTAGGAAGAATCATAACATTGGTATAAAGTAACATTTGGCTTCTCAATCTCATTCACTAAAACTGGAAATTAATTTGATAATTAAAATATTATAATGTGAATAAGAAACTAAATGTGAAAAAAGAAGGAAGGATAGATCATCAGCTTTTAAAGTAGTTACAAATCAGGACTTTCAAGTAATATTGTGATCATTTTTTGATGGACCAGATACATTGAAAGATCTTAGTTTAAGCTGGGTGTGGTGGTATACACCTTTAATCCCAGCACCCAAGAGGGGAGGCAGAGGCCAGCCTGGTATACAAAGTGAGTTCCAGGCCAGTTGGGGCTACAGGAAGACCTTGTTTCAAAAAGACCCTCCCCCCCCAAAAAAAGAAAAAAAAAAGATGTTAGTTTAAGCCTAATTTACCCTAAAAATACCAATGGATAATAAACTACTAGTGGCTCCTACTTGAACAGAGACATCTACCATTTTACAAAGAGATCTAGCTGTTAGCATGAGGAGGATGTTTTGCAAAGCTGTTGTTAACACAATTGTTTTCTGTGAAATGAATCAACATACTTTTATTTTTACTGCTACTTAAACTGATTTTTTTTTTTTAGGTAGCCGTTCTGATCGTGTGCAAATGCGAAATGATTTGCTTAAAATTAATGGTGTTCTCACAGAGCACACAAATCGGTTAGCTCCATATCAGTTTTTGACTGCTTTTTCACAATTGATCTCTCGAATCTGTCATTCACATTCTGAGGTTTTTAGTGTCTTGATGGAAATAATAGCAAAGGTGTTTGTGGCCTATCCTCAGCAAGCCATGTGGATGATAACAGCAGTGTCAAAGGTAATGTGTTAGTTACCACAGGGTCTTTTACCCTTTATTATGGCATTGAATATTTAAAGCAAATGAAGAAATGCAAGTTTCAGCATTCTGGCCTATATTGGGTAATTTTTATTTGTTATTTATATATTTATTTATTTATTTATTTTACTTTTTAATAGTTTTTTGTGAAATTACATGAGTATAATCTTCACACCATTTCCCTCCCAGTTGCCCTCCAACTCCTCCCATGTCTCTCTGCAATTTCCTGTCCCCTTCCTTTATTATTATTGTTACATATACATGCATACATTTATAGATATACACATATATGTAAAATGCACTGAGTCCATTCAGTGGTACTACTGGATAACTGTGTATGGAGCTGCCCACTTAGTGTTACATAACTTCTCAGGAAGTCCCTGGAGAAAACTGATTCTTTCTCCCTTGGCATCCATTAATTGCTTACAGCTCTTCATTTTAAGGTGAAACTCCTTGAGATTTTCCCCATCCATAATGTAGTTTTTAAATACTTTATTAAATATTTTAATATTTTGAGACACTTAAAATCCTATGAAGTGAGCAGCATGTTTAAGATTAAAGACTTTAGCATGTGTTTTCTTCATGAAGTCTTTAGTAAATAGTTGTGGTAACCTATTTTTCCTAAGTGTTTTAATCCAAAGTACTTGAATTATTAATACTAAAACAAGGATTACATTATTAGTGGGCATGCATAAATTGACTACTGCATTTAACAAATATAGAGAATTAGAAAATATAAAAATAAAAATTTAGACCTATTATTTTCTTATAATTTGTATTTGTGTATTTTCTAATCATTTTAGTGGTAAATTTCTAATCATTTAAATGGTAAATTGACAGAGCTTCCTACTTTTTGCTTAACTATTAGATACTTAAATATTAAATAATTATATTAACATTCTTTGAAAACAC